ATGTGCAGCGACTGTGACCTCGATTGGATCCAAAGAAGTTCTGTGCGTTTGCGGTATAACCGTGTATACTGCACACCAGATATGCTTTCTGGACAAACGTAGTTTATTTGTCCCTTTATTACTTTCTGTGACGAACGTAGTAAAGAACGTCCCTTTACTACTTTCTGGAGAAACATAAAAAATGTCTCTGTGTTATATTCTGGTTTCTAAAATTTCTATTTTTGTGTGTTTTGGTTGACTTAGCCGCCGTAAGTTGCCCTGGGCAAAGAAACCAACTGATAGCCGACATCACTATATTATATACAAGATCATCTAAGGTGCGCACACTTTCATACAACTACGAGCAGCCCATTTCCGGTACATCAGTCAAACCTCGAAGTCTGTTTGAAAGTCCCCGTCCGCTCCGCGTATTCTCGAATTGTAACCCTCCTGCGTGTTGAGATTTTAATATCCGAGTTATTCTACACACTCCGTGTACACCTCTATCTATACAATCCGTCCGGTGGAAGATTCCTCCTTCCTGTTTGTGCAGAGCGGGCACAACTGACACGACACGCCCACAAACCCATCCGGACAACTACACATGGGCTGTAACCCTTCCGCGATGCACGTGCCCCCATTCTCGCACGGGTGTGAGGTGCAAGGGCTGACAGCGAGTTCACAGTGCTCGCCAACATAGTCAGCGGTACACACGCACACATTGTTTGCCTCGTCACACGACCCCTGTTCGAGTGGACTACATCCATAGCCGCAAGCGGAGCCTACGGTGACACATTGGTTAGAGTCGCATGTTTGAAATGCGTTGCATTGGCTGCACACGTTCTGATTTGCTTGGTCAAAGCTACAACGTTCTAAGAAGGGTTCGGCAGCCTCTGCGGGGGGTTCGTCCAGCTAAATAAAACAATGGCGAAAGAAACAAATGGAAGTGAGTGGTGTTGTCCATGAGATAGTAGAGAATATCCGATTTCGATTTACCACAACTGTGATAAAGCAGTCCACAATAAATAATGGGAGTGATTGAAGGCTGTATCTAGAGCATATCAGGTGTTAGTTCACCAATGCATGCTACACCACTTGTGATAGAAATGGTGCACAAGAAAGGATATGTGATTGCAGGCTGTATCTTCATGCACATATCCAGAATGACTGTCACGTAGAATATTGACAAGACGGTCAAGACACGTTCCACTTTTCTATAGTGCCGGTCAAAGGATTGTACATGATGCATGTACAACAGAGACATATAGCAATTCAGCACGACATGTACGTATACGTCGACAACAGTGGTAAGATTTACCATGGCATGCATGGTATCGACCGTACACCCCTCGACGAAACCGATGATATCCTGAGTACTCATCTCTGGACATTCAACCGAGTTGATCATGAGCTCGCATTTGGCTTTGATTTCCAGATCCAGCGGAGGGTTCACAATCGGTACATACACATGTCAAGTGCTGGCGGCATCAGCGGAGTGACCGGTGCAGACTGTGTTAGTGTAGATGAGAAAAGAAAAGAAAAACGCGTTAGTGATGGGGCATGTTTCCCTCCCCTACAGTGACTCGAGCTTCACTACGGGATGGTTTGAGCCCAAGCTGAAACCATCCTGTAGCCATGTTTGCAATATCGTAGGAATAGTGATCAAACGCCAAAAGCATGAAATCGGGCATCATAGAGGTTCGGTAAAATTAAAATACAGTTTAGTGGTATGACTGCCCTCGCGTTTCGCAAGCCATAGATCACACCTTCTATTGATTCGTTGGGGAAGAATCTTTACCAAGCACCAATAGCAGACCACTCACCTGTTAGACTAACACGAAATCTTACTTCTGACCATCTATAGTTCTAAGACACCATATCTGACTATGTGTAATTGATATATGAATGTCTTACAATACAGCCCACTAACTATAAATATAAGAAAAAGGACATACCCCAGGAATAGGCGTCGGAAGGGGAGAGCGCGGCTCCACCTGGGGATTGCCTGTCAAAGTATGATTTTAAATAATAGAAAAGGTGGTCAGATACGAATTAATGTAAAGAATTATGTGCACATTTACCATATGCACCACGACAGCACCCTTTCGACTATGAGCACAATGTACAGCAACCAGACTCTACAACCCCCCGATAGTCCACCAGGCGCACACTACAAAAGTGCGCGTTCAGTATCTTGCTGCACTCATTCACACTGGCACTCGTACCTTGATCAATACACAATACACACACATACAGTACATGGGCCAGAAGAGATCACGAGAAGTGCTTTGGTCATGATCTACGTTGCAAATACACACAGGCGGAGAGCGACAGGCCTGCACTAGGTAACAACATTCACATTTACACATGCTCCGTTGGAACCACCTCTTAGTTACAGGTACATCAGACCAATTATCGCCTTTACATACATCACTCGACGTGCCATATTTGAGATATAAAATACACTTACAAGCGGGCTCGAAGGAAAAGTTGTCCATGGTAACATCCGAATTTGGCGGCGGTACGTAATTGGAAGTGGTGACTTCTTTTCCCTGTACAACAGGTACCGTTGACGGAGTGGGGCTTGCTACTGGTTTCATGCCACCGTATGTAATCCAATCGTCTTCGGGAACGAGCCAATCCTGAAAACAGATTGGGTGGAGTAAGGAATTTAGAGAAACCAAAACAAACTCATCAATAACCAAAACAATAACAACAACGAAATAGGAAATGGGGATTAGTCGCGATACCGTACACGGGTATTGCTTTGCTCATGCATAACCCTATTGCAGACGTTTGTTTTTTTGTTTAGCACATATCATACCACAGCTAGTTCGGCCGCATTCGTGTTCTCGTCCGAGCCGTCGCCGTCGAAGTAGCCGCAGAGTCCTAGAAGCTTGTCTTGCATGGTGGAAGGCGCTTCGACATAGAAGTTGAGATACCTCCAGTGATTACCTACATGGTAGTGAACAATCACAGGTCTATCAATATACGTGGCTACTCTTAAGTTGGCAACCGATACGGCGTCAGTCAATCCAGTAACGAGTTTACGCATACAACCAAACTTGAATTGTAATACAATATCTATGGATTTTGATTGTTGCTTGCTTGCCGACGTATATCTGTTTAGGTTCCACACACGTCCAATAGGTATGCAACCCATACCCAGTTCACATACTCCTACTACAGTGAACAAACACGCGTAGCTGCAACGTGGTACCTACCATCTTTTCGTTCCTTACGGTAGAAGCCGGTAGTGCACTTCACACTCATGCCGTTAGGGAGATCGAAGACCACTACCCCTGGAGAATCCCGTCTGAAACCAATGGCTGACCCACCATCTGCTAGAACATCAACGTACACGGTGGGATCCCTGCAGTGCCCATGATAATTTATTCCGTTTGTGAATTTAATATTAAAGTACGTCAAGTTTAGTACATCAGCAACATTGTTTCAGAATTTGAACAGGGTTAGCCGATAGTTCTATAAAGCTACAGCATGGAAGTGGCGATCACACAATACATCACGCTGCAAAACCAGATTGTCGAGATAGTGCACACATACCAAATTTCATCATTGGATGTGCCCTGGTTCATGCTGAATTGTACCTCCGTGCCCATGTGTACCCAATGAACGTACAACTGGCCTGTGCTCCGATGTCATCGCACGGCTGGAGATATGTCTGTACACCCATATCACCAGGGTAGTCACGGAAAAGTGTGTACATACCCTGAGCGTACAAATCGAACCTGTTCCCATCGAACATTGTGTAATGTGGGTCTCCCCAGCCCATACATTGGACTCTGCCTGGTTCAGAGCCGCCTTTAGGACTCGAGGACGGGTCAATTACCGCCACACCCCCTGGCGCGAACTGATCATTGTTTCTTGGCTCCAATGTGATCCACATGGTACCCTCCACCCCCCGGTTAGAGACTAAATCCAGAATAGGTGCTACATGTACTCTCTATAAGAAATGAAATCAGCATAACCACATGAGATGAAATTCCAGCCCTCCTACCTCCTGTATGCAATTCAAGGTCTAAAGACTTGACAAGGTGCAACCCATAGCCACATTTAAGTCGAAATTGATAGTTGGCCTTCAGTATGCTATCCTTTTCCTAACTAATAGTCGACCGCAAAATATCAATAGGCGTGCTCAACAAACCTGTGGAGTTTCCCAATTCTCTGGCGTGAATACCAAAACACACTTGTCAACGCCAAAAATATACCCTCCTGCCAGGTTGAAGATATCGACGTAAACGGTTTCAGTAGGCTTTTCAGAAAGGCGCGCCTCAAAGTACTCTATTTCGGGCTTGCCGCTCACAGTTATTGTATTGTGTGTTGTTACCAGCACCTACGGATGCAGACCAGCACAGAAAAAAGCAAAAAAAAGCGACATATCTGTAAATCACAGCTCGTGCGTACCTTTGTAATAGCTCGTTGCATAGCAAACAAAGGGGGTTTGCGCTAGGTGACATCGAAATTTACAATGCTTTTCAAAAACTAGCGTACTTACTAGAAAATCATGCATGATGACACTCATGCACACCTCTGCAGTCATACTTGGGACCATATACTCCTCTGGGATAATAGTTATGGTGCCATCAGAGCCAGGTGGCATCCATGGCAATTGTGCTGCAATTTTCCCTGCGTGTTCGTAGTAGTTGACCTCGATGGCGCGAACGGATCCAGCCTCCATCCAGAACTGCCCAACTGTGCTCAAATGTACGCACATACTTTTATAAATGGGCGTGTTGCATAAAATGAAAACACAAATGCTATGTATGAAGCAAGGCGAGGAAATACTTCCAGTTGGACTAAAAGTGCATAAACCTACCAGCTGAAAAATAGAGAGAAACGTAAATTACACGAAACGGCAACTCTATACGGGTGATAAACTCTTTCTCGATGATACAAAACACCATATTACAGCATCGATCCTCGTATAGCATTTTTTTTCCTTTTTTTGGGGGGGGGAGGGGGGTTCGGAGGATATGCAGAAAAATCGAAACAAGGACTACATGCTATTAAAAAGGTGTACGTCACGGTCCAAGCGGACGTGCCGGACTACATACTTTGGGCCAATGTTTGCGCAGGGAGTTTGCAGCCATAGTCATCAGCAACCAGCTCGTTGTTCATGAAAGCCTTCATACCATCATCACTATACGTATACAATTCGTAGTATCCTGTACACGGAAAAATTATTCTGAAGGTCCAACGTATGAATATTTTGTCTAACATCTCGGGGGTGCTGTAGTGGAATCCTTCCGCGTCGATCGCGCCCTGGAAATGAAAAACGAATTGGGTTTGTGATAATTACTATTATGATTCATGCGGTTTAAATTATAAAGGCACATTCAGCACACGACAACGTCATTGTTGCATTGGGAGCAGTTTAACCTTGGAAAATTTTACGATCTATAAAAACAATCAGGAGTATAACTGTCATGCTATTCATTAGAAATTAGTAAGTTCTTGCATGTACAAAGTCACACCAATCGCCGACAAGTGGCACGAAAGTTCTTACCGATATGCCGTCGGGCAAAGGCACATCAACTCCAGAATCTACACGGTCATAGTGTATAGCTGCCAGATTCGGATCGGGTTGGTTGGTACCACATTTAGATGAATCTTGGTAGTATGCTCCTCGAGTTGTGAAGTGGGAAAGGGCCGACACATTGTGAACTCCAGTGTGACATACGATCTCCAAGGCGTGCGCTGTGTATGCAACTGCAAGGTGTACTATGATACGTGGTTCCAGGAGTGATACGTATATCTTGCTTAAGTTCAGCTCGAGGCTACTGGCCTCCACAAACACAAACCTTTTACAAAATCTGGCACCACTTTTCCACAAATGCGCAACAGATTGGGTTTATTACTTGTATACACCTGAAGTCCTGAACTGCCTGAACTCTGAAGTATGTTGAAATATGAAATATAAAATATAAAATGCAGGAAATAAAAATTCCACAACGCTGCGCTTTTGTTTTTTTTATAAATATTATTTAAACAAAAAAAATAAAATTAAAGAGTAAATCGTCTTTTTTTTAACGGGATGAGAAATTTTTGATTCTGATTCCGTTCAGAAAGAACATACAAAAGTACAATTTTGCATAGCCTTCGTTCTTTTAATTTTTAGAAGGCTATGAATTTTGGTGTATGTATGATAACTCGATATAATGATGGCCGCACCAGAAACTGAGCCAAAGATATCGAACTTGTATAATAAATGTGAATCTTTTGCAAATTTGGGTCTGCGGGCACTTTTGGTTGCAATTATTTTACTTACATTTCAGAGATTTCTGTGAGAAGTGAGTCATCCTTTCTCTGAAAGACACCAGTGACCACTGACCAGGTAGAGGGTTTCAAAGAGTTCACCAATCAGAAAAGATTACTGAAAGTGTCGCTACACAAGTATGAAAGAACGTTTATGCCTTGGAATTTGGATATCGCAGTTCCTTTCTGAACCCAAATTTTAATATATATATATATATATATTGTTTATATATACACATATATATTTATAATTATAAATATATAAATATATATCATTATATGTGTCTTTTTGCATATATATTTATATATAAATATATATATATGTATTTATATATACAAATAGACACATAATATATATATATATATATATATATATATATATATATATATATTATTATAGTACAATAAACACACACACACAC